TTAAATGGCGATAGGACTTTTAAGTTGTTCAGAACACATTGCCATTAAGTGGTATTGTGAACTTGATTGATATCCCCTGTCTAACGAAACAAGTACGGAATACACCTTGTGCGGCAGAAAAAAACTTGCCTTCATATACAAGTTATTGTTTTGACAACAGCGTATGATAGAACGGATGAGATGCGCGTGTGCGCTGGGGGAATGTTTTGTTATATTAGGACTAAGTAAATTACCGTTTCTTGTCAAGTCATAAGGTTATTGGCCTACTATATCACAAGACTCGACTTTTCTTTATACAGTAAGGTTACATATTATCACAAGACTTGGACTTTGGATATAATGTTAGGTTTTAATTTCAACACTTGACCGTTGATCACATCGTTGATCTGCAAAAATCATTTGGCATGGGCGTTGCAATAACACATCATTTTGTTTAATTTGATTTTTCAAAATTGATTTTCATTTAAATTCCCAGGGTACCCATTTATTATATATGTGTACGTATATCAGAAAACAAATATTATGCAGGGTCAAATAGGACATCCTGTACTCAATGAAACATACTTACAATAATTTAAAAGCAGCAAGAAATAAGGTGCACTGAGTGCTTTGGTGCCAACCGATTACAAAATTTCAAGTGTTTGAGTATTCTCTTTGAAGGTTTTTTCAATTTCCTTTTCGCTGGAATTAAGCGAAAACAACAGCCACTGGGCGTAGTAAGGTAGTGCATACAATATTTTTTTTTTTTTTGTACAAAGTAGGAATAATTTGATGATGTACCTTGCAAACATGATCAAAGTGCAGCTCTTTTTCTTGTATTCTTCAGGATATTTCTGCATGGTGGGTAGTCCTTCTAACTCAGCCCCTCCCCCACTCAAAACAAAAAGAATAAAAAATAAAAATAAATACAATTCTCTCAATGGCTTCATCCTAAAAACCTGGTGCCATGTTGGTGTTTTTTCCCCCTCCTTTTAAAATTGTCATTACCTTTCGACATTTGGTCATCTTTTTTGTACACTTTTGCCACGGGCGCCATGTTTTGCACGGCCTTTTATTTTTACATGCGATCTTGGTGACAGGCGCACCGAGAGAGACGGGTCACACAAACTGACGGTGACAACTGCACTCAACAGCGCCATCTTTAGTTATTCTTTTGATGGTGCTGACTTCAAGACGAGATCAATTACTTTAAAATTCCAAGAGACTAGTCACTAAAAAACACCAAATGCAATTGTTTGTATATATTCCCATTTTCCCTTGAGCTTTATTGGAATTTTAATTAGAAAAGGTGTCCTCCTTAGGCTAAAGCAAACATATTACGCACTTGGAGCTCTCTGGGGACCCGCTATCTTGTTTGAAGTCTACGAGTCAAGTATCGCTGTTTCTAAAATAGTTGACTATTAGGCCAACTCGGTTTCTTTCAGCAAGTAAAAGTCCGGATAAGAATACCGTATTTTTAGTGTTCGTGATGCAGCGCCTCGGGATAGGTAAACCTAGACTATTTTGCCTTTTATCGACAAGTGTCAGAAAAGTGGAGGTCGAAAAAGGTTACTTTCACGTGGGGAAAGTTGATAGCTAACCAGCTGACTGGAACTAAAACGAAAAAATAAAACTGTGTAAACCTTTCGGTCGTTTCATCATCACGGTTGAACATTCTACAGTAACGGGAAAAAAGGATAGCTTTCAGTTTAATGAATGCTGCAGCAAGGGAAATGGCTTACGGTTAAACAGTAATTTGAGTCACGTCAGTTTAAAGAAGCAATCGAGTATGGCTTACCTTTAGTGCAAGACACGACTAATAAGCAATGGTTTACTCACTGGCACGCGCCGGAATATCAGTTTGAAAATTAAGATAGCAGGTGCTTGGAGAAACAAATCACAAAGATTAAACCATAACTCTTACTTGGCCATATCCTCCATAAACTACAAGTGTTTCGCATACACAAGTCAAAGTTATAGAGTTTATGTGCTGATACACAGCTCCTTTATTACTGCGTTGATCATCGGTTGTATAGAGAGAAGGATAGAAAGTAAGAGAGACAGAAGACGGAACCCGCATTGAAAAAAAACACACTAGCCATTTATAATATTTATTGCATATTTCAAATATTTTTCATAAGCCATATACAAAGTGCTCATTATTTCTCGGTGATTTACAGGATGAATGGGACTTCTTATCACATATATGACACCTTTAAAGGCAACTCTTCCACGAAAGACGTGTCTATTAAGCGTTTTCAGACAATAACAGTTATTTGTAATATAATATAACATCATATAATATTTCATCTCTGAAGATCTGTGTAGAGAAGCCAGATAGTGCTTATTCACAAGACGTAACTCAAATCAATAGGGCTACAGCCTAATGCAGCGAATACAGCCTGTGAAAAGATAACCTCGCTTTGTTGAGAACCCCAAGTCAGATACCATAATAGGGTAACCTGCTAACAGACACTTGCTTGGTATTACAAAACCTCAACGAATTCTATCATATTGGCTTTCATATAAGATTACTAAATATCCTGCTCCAATGAGGGATGTCTGTACAAGTGCAAACGGATGTGAAACGATGATGGAAGAGTTGTATTCAACGAAATGTAATAAACGCTTTCCTAGAGTTGATCTTGGCAACACGGGATAAGGCCCTGGGTAATGAATTGGAAGCCCAAATTGCAAAAATTGCCTTGCACGGTCGCGATAAGCTCCGTATGAAGTCGATCTCGTTTAGTAAACTCTCCATTTTCATTTTATTATCACTTTCTGTCTGTCTGTCTGTCTGTCTGTCTGTCTATTTAGTTCTTAATTATATATTTATTTATTTATTTGGAATGTTTTATAGTTATCCGCCCCTACTTTGAAGGTCAAAGCGTAAGGTTAAAAAGTTGGCATTTAGGCCTCTTGTTAGCATTTTGCAGCTGGACGTATGTAGCCTTTGTATAGTGCGCTCGCGGATAATGGGGGAGGGGGGCTACACCGAAACCCCTGTTTTACTCCATTAACTTAAAAAACCCTAGCTTCGTGTCTGGGGACACGTTTTAGCCGTGAGCCAGGACAACTTTATAACGATTTCTTGAAGCTTGAGCCGCATATATGACAAAACTAGGTCATAATGTAATTTCGATGATTAGCAACTCATGACACAATTTATGGATTAGCGAATTGACAACACTTTAAGGTGGATCTATTTGAACGCTTATTCCAGTCGTTTGAGACACGTATTGACCTATGAACTACGCAACTCTATTAGTAGGGAGATACATGTTTCAGCACTTAGTGAATGAATGACATTGTAAACTTGAAGTGAAGAGAATGTGGAAAATGAAGATATTTGCGTGATATCAAAGCCATAGATACATTGCAATCATGTGTATAGTTGGGAAAAGCAAAGTCTTTGTCATGAATCAGAAGTATACAATAATTTCAGAAAGTGTCTGTGGAAAACTAAATTGCTACATCAGCACACACCCCGACATCCCTTTCCCTATCTCCTACACACACACAGATCATGATGCCTTTTTTTCTGATTTGGTTTGGTTCCTAGCTAGGCCTAAACTGTATCTCTTAATAATATGTTGTAATCCCTTGATAATCTGACTATTTTATCCAAAACAAAAACAAAAAAAAATGAAGAAAACTCTATTGGGATTCGACACAATAATTACGAGCAGCATCAAATCTACTCATAGCTCCGAAATTAAGTTAATTATACAGCACGTGTGGCACGAATCTTCTTTCTGTACATGTGTTTCAATAAAGCAAATAAATAAGGCAGGTTATTCCGTGTAATGCTTATTATATCAAATTATAGGGTCAGTAATAAGCTATTGGACTAAACGAATTTATAATGATTTTCGACTTTTTGTGGCCTTGACTGTGGGGTGATTGATGAGATCGTCTCTTTGAAGATCTATTAAAAGGCAGAGTTTAGATCTGCAAATGGCCTGCTGAGTTTGATAACTGTTCTACCAACTTCTAGTATTAAAAGAGTTATTCAAACGGGATTGTGAACTTTTTTTTATAAAACCTCAATAAAAAAGCATCCAAGGGTAACTTAAACACATATTACGAATAGGAGCATAGAAATCAAATTGATTGGAACTAAAATTGATTGCATATCCGCGGTCCAGAAGTTCTATACTTGAAAAACCATGGGGTGGAATCACACTTTACCCAGGGATTTGGATCAGAAAAGGTGAAAGTTTCAACCCTTTTCATGCAAAAATTTGTTGTAACCCTACAGGCAGCCCAACTGGTGACTGCCCTTCGTACTTCCCTATTTGTTGTGGAATTCATCTCAGACAACCTTATGTATTTCACTGATCAATCAGCTAACAGATCATTTCCGTGCCACGCAAAACCAATAGACAACATTGCCAGCAATCTGTTCGCGTCGGAAGCCAGTTTCACAAGGTAACTTCAGCCTGAAAGATGGTCGGAACTTTAAAAGCACAAACTTGGTCTACTTTACTTCACAATTATTTCATATTATTAATTTTTGTATAGTTAGAATTGATCTGATGGATATTTGAAATGTCGTCTTTGTTAATACAACCGGTTCACCGTTTCGTTTGATTGGACTATGGCTTATTATTATTCTTGGGACAAAGTTAAGACCAATTTTCGGGCTAAAGTTTTCTTGTGGAACTGGCCCTAGCACTCTGAAACGTGGGTGTTGATTTTACGTAACTTAGACCATAGATGCAACAAAGGAAACAAAGGGCACAATCCGTTCACATTATACTCATTTGATTAATTTCATCAAAAATCTACTTAAAATATCAACTGTTTGTCCTTTATAGTTTTCCGCAATTTGCATTGTTTTGGAGTCAATCCACTTCTGAAATGGCATAGATAAATGACTACCCACTTATTCCTGTGGAGATATCCCGGATTACTCCACGTGTTCTCAAGTACCACGAACGCCCTTTTCTCGTGTACCGCAATCCTCGGACGATCTTGGGGCTTAATTTTATTGTTATTACATTACAAAATACGTTTTGTGCAAAGTGATCTGTGAGGTAGGTTCTGCGATTGATGGTTGGTTGTTGGAGCCGTTGGAATTTTTGATTTATTCACGGAACTTTTTTTCATGCTATCGTAACACTTATAAATGGAGCGACTGGGTATTTTTGTGCATTTCTTCCCCCACGGGAATCCTACTAGCACCAGAATTCTTTAGTGCAGAGCAATAAGGAAACTTAGGCGAAACTCATGTTGGTTACGTCTTTTTAACTCTGGAATTTAACTCAATGACTTTTGGAAAACTTTGTAAATCGTGCATTATAACACGTATGTATAGTTCTACAGGACAAGCCAAAGCAAAAGAAACCAGAAGCTCGACTGACTTAATGTAATTGCAGAGACAAACTGAAAATCTTTTTGCGAGGGAAAGAGAGGAGAGGTGTCAACGTAGACTGTTCAATTGATACGCTTCGTATCCATAATCATTTTGATTATTACTGGGATTTTATCTGGCATTCGCATCAGTTAAGCGAGATACTACTACCTGTCGAGCAATTTCTTTACGCTAAGACGAAACGAACCACGACGCCACAGTATGGCACATTGCAATTAGACTCTGAATGTCAAATGTGACTTGATTGCCGATTATTTCACGGATTTCAGCAGGAGACCTCGGTTCACCATTAAGCCAGTCACAATACGATGCCTCACAAGAATTAAACTAACATTTAATCCAGGTGAAAGATTAAGCATTTTCTTACCACAAAGACCGCTTCAAGATTAAAAACCACAAGGATGCTTTGAAGCTCCGTAAGTACAGAACAACAAGGTTCATTATTTTATTACAGAAGTCATATTACTTAAGAATCCTTTTTTTTTATTTCTTCTTTTTCATTTTGTTTTCTCTTTGCTCTTCATTCCTCCTACCGCTGAAGCATTACAAATGAATTCCAAACGATACCAATGCTTAGGTTGTTACCAAGTGAAGCTAAGGTAATTTGGGCTACAGGGAAACCCATTTGGGCAGGATTTTAATTTCTTCCACTTATCTGTAACGTTTCAGGTAATGTCTAGTTCCATGTTGTTATTCTAACATATAACACGCGCTTGATTAGGAACTGTTTTGGCTTCAATTGAGGTATACAAATGGCCTACACATATCGATAACCCTCAATTAAAACGAGTTAAATTGAATTTGTAACCGAATGCAACTTTCAAATGTTGCGCAGCGCTACTCGTTTATGGTTCGCACTTGAAAAGCCCTTGGCGCGGTTAAGTGGTAAATATTCCATTTTTGAAGTGACGTAAGTGATCTGTAGCAGGAATTGCAACCGTTGACTTGTTTTGGGACGACTATAAAAAAGCTGCGAACAAAAGCCAACAGAACTGTATTTTGTAAAATGTTTCAATTCTTGCTTAGCAGGCAGTGTGATTTCGACATCGGCCTCGGCGTTACTTTTTAGAAACCAAGTTAATCCACCGTTTATTTAATTGGTAGCTGTTTTATGTAACTCCATTGTTTGGAATTTTTACAAAATAACAAAAAACAAACAAAAGACAAAAAGTACTGTTATTGCTTTACTTTTTAACAGAATTATTGACAATTAACACTCCATACGTTCATTGTTAATTCTCTCAAACCTCCATGCTGTTCACATCAAACGCCCCGGAGGCTAATTCAATCAAGAATTTTTTCGCTGTTGCGACCTCTCTTGCCTTAGTGCATCTCTCTTGCTGCTACTGAAACTCTATTGAAGTGCTAGAAATTTTACGTTGGGTTAATGCAAAGGGACATTGCGTTCATCTCAAAATCTCCGAACGTGATCAGTGACTGATTATATCCGAGATTGTGGCTTACGGCCGAAGTCCCACATTGGTCTTTAAGACCTCAAATCGGACAAGAAATCTATAACAGTCGACGGCTCGTTGTATCGGGTGACAGTTGCGACTGATGCGGTATTTTCATTTGGATGACCTGCGCTAAACTTTTCGCAGTAGAACTCGCTGACACCTTTTTTTCACCTTGTTCTGTCTGTTTCAAACAATGGCATAAAACTATCTCCCACCTGTGCCGAGGCACAAGAGGAACATGCTTGGCACTGACACGCTTTCCGCCCGATTTCGTCCGTATTTAATCGCAACTGATGTGTGCAAACAATAAAACGCACCTGTATAGGAACCCGCCATAATGGGCGTTTTGCACTTCTATTGTCTTAAAGGTTGACATTTATTGTTATTTTGCCGGGCACTAGTTTTATTGGTCAAATGGGGAAGTGTAACTGATGATTCAGAATACCGTGTCATCTACTTCATTAATTCAACAGGTAATGGGAAGATGAAAAGGTCATAAAATCTTATACGCTTAATTGTGAGGTGAATACGGGTTTATTGCGTTGCGCTTTTTAGGCTTTTGCAATAAAAGGAATAACAAAAAAGTTATTGCAGATGCACTCGTAACTCGTTCAATTTCTGAAAATAAAGGCAACGACTATGCGTATCTGAGAAGACTCGCTCTCTATGTATACATGTATACTTAAAAGAAATACGGAAAAGGAGTGCGTCTTTTTTTTCCTGCAAATCTAAAAATACAGCAGACAAAGGTAAGCACTGTTTCATTTCCAGAAGCAGCGCTCGCTGGAACCGTCCACATCAGAAAAAAACTAAATCGTACGCCTTTTACATCTTGATTTAATCGGTTTACCTTTCAAATTAGCTTTCAAAATAAGATTTTGAACTTCTACATCTGATACTGCATTTCTTCTGTGCTCCATTAAAGCTATAAATTTCCAGGTCAAAATGCCATCTATTTTTTTCGAGGCTAAATTGAAAATATTTTTAGAGGTTATTAACAATATAATGAAAAACAAAGTGGCAAAGTGAACACGCATGCCAATGTTTTCACAATATCCCCGTAGGTCATCGGTTTCAAGCAAAGCAGTTGTTCTAAGCCTAATTTTACTTACCCGTCAGATTAAGCAAGTAGATTGTACAGGGTGTACGAAAAGTGTTGGACGAAACCTTTTCCAAATGATTCTAATTTGCGCTGACATCTTGAACACAAAGGTAATTCGCCACAAAAAACTTCTTAACGTGTTAGTGAAAGAACGTGCCCCTAAACTCACATAAAAAGCAAATGAAATCTTCTTTAATTTTTATTAGTAAATATTTAACAAACACCGACAAAATGTTGCGTCCCCTGTGGATTTTGAAAAGTGAAAATTGAGGCGGCCGGGGTAAGGCCTTAGAAGTCAAAAACATTGCCGTGGGACCAGGCAACTCTATCTTCACTCCATACAGCTAATTAACAAACTTCTTTGCGATGCTGTCATTGATAGCTAAGCCTTGAAAAAGGTTTGGAAGGCGATCAAAAGTCTCAGTTCCTAACTTTGCCCCGCTGAGGCCACACGATGAAGGCGAGATAAGACGGAAACTGAGCTGGCCTTTTCGGTGAGTGGCGCGCTAGCACGCACATTTCGCTGCCGTAGTAGGCAGGTGATGCAGTGTTTTTTTTTTCTATTGGAAAATGCCTGAATAGTTTTTCCTAGTGACTAAGTATCCACGCTGAAGCAGCTGAAGAATTAGATGTGATCACATGCCTATAGGGATTCCAGGAAATTTAAGAAGGGGCGTTATGCGACGACGGCAGGTCGTTGACAATGATTAATTAATCTCATGTGTGCAAGACTTTTGAAGCAAGAGAAATCAACAAGGTACGTTGAATCCAAAATTATATATATATTCTAAGAGTTATTACTGAAGAAGGGCGACGGACAATGATTAGGATTTACGTTTAATCAGCTCTTTGAGCTAGTCAAATTCAGTATCGATTAAGTGACGGTGGATAGCAGTACTTTTGTGTTTGATCTCTCCAAGACGTGAAGGATTTACACATTTCTCATTTATTTTTTACTACGCTAGGGTAGAACCAGCTTTCCTTGATGTGTTTTTCCGCTGAATCAATTCGATTACCCTGTTTAACCATATGCATGAAAATACTGGGATTTCTTGTCTGGGGTGATTTTTCTGTGTTTTCTGTTTCAGTCCACATTTTCTAGGAAACCATGATATCTTTTTTTCTGTAGAAATAGTAATTCTTACGACAAACACGTTTTTCAATATAAGTTGACACGTTGAAATAAGGTCAGGTGAACGCAAGTTAACGTGTTTTCCCACTAGTGTTGTATTTTCACAGCACACACGGTCTGTATAACAGTAGAATCAACTTGAATTGATAAGGGCGATCTTTGCATCCGGGCTGGTGAGACTTATCTATACAGCCAAATGCCATACTGCTTGTAGAGTACAACTCTCGAAGAGATACAACAACGCGTGATAGAAAATTGAGTACAACGATTCCAACAATACAAAACTATAACGATTCCTCAAGATATTATAGTTACTTCGCGTAAGAATACTTAATACACATTGCAAGGCAGCGACTAATAGCGCATATCATTTTCATTATTTCGGTTAAGTCAAGTTTGCTTAACTCAAATATGTCAAAATTGCTATTTGTTTTCAGCCACGCCTTCATCACTGCCTGCCTCCAATAGCATTTTCTTACTTAGAGCTATTTATATCTAGTAATTGATAACAAAGTGCAAGTTCTTTCAAAGTTAATCCATAGATTAAAACCCAGCATCACAAAAGCAACTTAAGTGGGTTTAAATTAGTTATGTTTAGAATGCTGACTCAAAAATACAGTAAACAGAGTATCTGCCATGTTCAATCATTGATACATGAAAGTATATTTGAAAACCCTGTCCTTCTCTACACTTTAAAGCAGTACTTAGAAATATTAGGTTTGATGCATTTTTTGTTTCTGGGCAAAACCTATTTTTGTCTTTTGCTTTAAAAAATATCAACTTGAAAAGTAAAGACCAGGCAAAGTCGTGACAGCAGTGTAAATTCAAAGCGTCAGTTTTGTAAAGGGCACTATTAAAACATTAAATATCCCGTGAACCAGTTCCAGTCCAAACATTCGTGTATCGTGTGACGTCACAAAGAGACTGATGTCATCATTCGGCAAGATTGCTAAAACATGGGATGTAATAGTTTAAAATATATGGTCCTCATTAATATCTGTATGTGCAATGCAGTGAAGTGATAGAGTTTTGATTAGAAATAAAATCCCACTTGAAGTAGTTGTTTTGATGCAAAAAACTCACAGAAATACCGATATTGTTAGTCCCATTACATTTTGCGAGTGGTGCCCTCGCTCAGCGTTTCTCATAAGCGTCAAATCACGCTAAAATATCATTACTTTGCCTCAACAAGCAAGAGCGTTGATGTCATGGCATTTGTGCAAAGTTAAGTTTCAAAACCATTAATTTTAAAAGCTGCCATAAAAATATTTTTTGTGACGAAGCCATGAATAGAACTAGAAGAATTAAGTCAGTTTTCATCCAGCTTGAATTGTATTGGCTAAAGAATAGAAGTTCATCATCGTTATACATGTCGCAGTGGATGATATCTTCTCTTTTGATAAGCAGTGTAAAACTGTACGATTTCCTTAGCTTGCTTACACCATGTAATGATCGGGAAAGCCATATATCAGAATTCATCATCTGGTGTGGAGAAGAGGGGGGGAGAGTGGGGAAGTGGTGAACTGTGAGACGTTTAAGGGTGCTTTCCCAGAGATTTAGATCGATCTAAAGATTAAGTTTTAGATCGACCTAACTCCCTGGGGGTTCAGGCTAAATTGCAGTCAGCCGAGCGGACACCATAGTTAATTACCCCCTTACAGCTTTTAGTAGGCGGGACAGACGCTTAAGCCGGCCAAGCTGACAGTAATCTAGTGAGACTCCCCA